TGTTATATACATTATTGAATTCGTATTTTGTTTCACTACGAAAACATCCGATCTCTTTGGAGCTACACCCACGTTGTCCACTATTCACCAACTTGTTCTTTTTATTTACGTAATGAATATTTTTCCTTGTCGGTAAAATCATACAAAACGAACGTAACTAGGAAAATACTTACGAAGCTTGAAATAAATGGAAACTATTTACAACGCATTGAGTGGACTTGCTGCCATTTTGTGATCGGATTGCAGCTCCGTACGATGTAAAATGTAATTCGGTAATACGAATATCAAAATATCCTTCGTCACAGCAAACGGCATGTGCGTTTTGTTGCGACGACGTGGACGTCAAAGCAAATACAAGAATGATAATGCGCGATGAGTCGGAAGCGATGTCTGATGTGGTCTGTTTTAGGCTTAAGTGCTGTCTTAGCCGAATGGAACCATGAATATCGAAAAAAATTCAGGGAGCAAAGCAGTTCCCGCCTGGGTCTAGGCTTTGTAGGGCCTACCTCCGAATGTGAGGCGTGTTACCTGCTCCCTGGGCTGTGTCATGCGTTCTCCGTATATTCCCCGATTAATACAATACACAGGTAGAGTTCTCGCTGTACACATTATCTCAAAATAATTCAGGTGACAGCAGACACCAGTGTCCGTTCGCTAGAGTCCTATTGTATGTTTGTATCTTTGCGCCCAATTGTAATAGTGATACCTGACATTGAGGTGTTGAAGACTTTCGACCATGTGGAACGTCACAGTCTTTTTCATTCAAGCACAGTTTATTTGTATATATTTAATGGTGTTTAAATACACGTATCAGACTACAGATGTCAGTAAATGATGGACCGCTGCACTTTCATAAGTTACGTGCGTTTATGTATTTCTACGATAGATCGCACGCGAGTAGAAAGACTGCTATGCGTCTGTAGCACGTGTCGTAAGTTCTCGTGCTAGTTGCTGTGTTGTTTTCTGTGCTGTGAATGTGAAGTCATTGTTTACAAACAATGGAAAGTGACCGGAGATAATATAAAAATTATTACACAAAAACATTTTGTATCAAAACACATAATGATTTCATTTTTGCGGGTATATTCCAAAAGTGAAATATAAAAATAAGGACTTATTGGAAAATATTTTAAAAAGGTAGGGAAGAAGCCGTGAGAAAAAAAGTGGGCTTCAGTGGTGAACTGATGGTCCAAAGGGCGAATGCGTTGTTGTCATTATTATTATTATTATCTAGTCTCATTTTTAAATTTTAGAAACATAACCATGCCACAACTCCCCCTCCCGCCCCTCTTTTCCGTGAATACTGAGATAGATCCATAACATATCAAATACCACTGTCTGTATTGGTTTTTAAGAAATGTTTGAGGTTCAGTATAGCAATCATGATGTGACTTTATGCAGTCAAAATCAAACAGTTGATGGCAAATTTGGTACACAGACCTGTGTTTGTGAGATTGGTGTTCACATCAGCAGGAGAGGTAGGGTTGATTAGTAAAGTTATATAAGGCAGTTGATAAGCCACAGAGAGGAAATTGAGTGGCCTGGTATCATTTGAAGCTGCGCCACGACGTGTTAATTTCCCCAGAAGCTGTCTTGACTGAATGAGTGACAGTATCTCTCTTCCATTCTCTTCTTACTCCATTGTGCTTCTCTAAATGGTTGTAAGAGCCAGGCTGACAAACTTGTGTTGTAGTGAAAGTGAAAGGTTTCATCAGAAATCCAACTTTAAAGTTTCATGAAATTGACTGCAAGTTCATTTTTTCATTGTATGGACCAGGTACTATACAACTCTTTTGCTTTGTTATGTTTGTTACATTATAATGAAATAAAATATGGATGGACAAATTTATTTTTGAGCAACAGGTACACATAAATCAGTTAATAATTTATGTAATTTATGGTGCTTTAAGAAATTTATTGTATGAAGTTCAATTGAATATATGGCTACCATTCTTTTGATGGCAGGTTTGAGTAGGAGAACCAGGAGGGAAATTAATAAAATCTAGGGAGCAATATTCACAATGCACAGTCTCTCTTCTGCAGTCACGTCATTTAGAAAAGATCTGGCCTGTGAAATATTTTACAGATTCTGTTACAAGACTCCATTGTGCACCCTAGTCCCAGATTGTCTCATTGTCCACGTCTGGTACATTCATATACTCACAGAAGTTACTGGTGGTACGCGAACTGATTGCCTGTGTCATACTTTGAACATGTCAGACGTCACATTATCTAATGCTGGGCCAAAATTTAATGTACAGTGGCAAAAACTAACTTTACATGTATTGTTGCAAATTCAGTTGAAAAGAGGCATTATCAGTGGTAAGCAGCGCTTTTCTCTTTTTTATCCATTCTACTATTATATTGATTTTGATCCATCATTATCTCTTTCCGGTCCTTTTCTTATTTCTGCCAGTTTCCGTGACGCAAGGAAGTAGAACTGCCTTCTTTGTCACTAATGGTTTTCTTTGTTGCTGAAAACAAGCAAAATGCTACTGTTTAATGAATAATATGTTTGAAAACATGGTTTTTAGCCATCCATCCACTCTTCTTATAAAGATGTATTTATACGTTTCACAAATTCACATCTGAGGATATAGAAAATATACATTTTTCTTTATGACGGGGAGAATTCATGCCTGAGAAGGGATTCAATCCTGGGACCACATTATTTATGTCACCAAGTTCATGTACGCATTAAACCACAGACACTGGGATCAGTTGAAGTCTTGTTAGCGCTGTTGTTTTCATCTTCGGTGCTTGATCCTGTTAATTCAGAGATTTATTCTTTTGCTTCTAGTGAAAGCAGATTATGAAAATGGAGGCTCACATTTGTCTTAAAAATCGCGATATCAGTGAATATGTTTCTCGGTAATCAAGGATTTTTAATTTTAATTTTAATTGCACAGCCATGTCATGTGTTAAGTCCTTGTCGCTGTTAGATTCTCTTTAGTTGTTTTAATCTTTTAGTATTATTACAGATTTTCCCTTTTTTCATTTGACAAAGGTAATAGTTGATATTAACAAGCGGCTGGAATTGTCAAGTGTCAGATCATGCCCATTGAATATGTGGATTCATTCAGTACTAGTCAGTTTGTTATGAAATTATATTGTTATTCGCTATTGTTTCTATTACTCCTAGGAGGAACATTGGGTATCCAAAAGATGCTTTAAACAGACCTTATTCTTGATCAGTTTTCATTTTAACTTTGTTCCATGTTTTGTTACTAAACATGGTAAAAAGGATCAAATCATTTCCATAATCTAGAGAACCAATATTCCAAGATGTCTTTTTTGCAAGTGCATTCTTCGTTATTTTGTTTATTTTAGGTGTATATCCAATCAGCGATAGAGTTACTACATTGCATGCACTCATTAGTTTTACTATTTATTATCTGTTAATGCTGTTACAGTATGCGTAGATTTTGGTTTAAAAGTCAGTTTAGATGAATATGTGGTCATAAAAATAAGTCAGAAGACAGTGGTCATGGTAAGGATAAAATGTAATAATCATGAAATAAAAGAAGTAAAATTAAAGTAAAAAAAAAACTGCCCCATGTAGGCACTTGGGTGGAGGGGGCAGTGGTATAGCTCCTACCCATTCTTGTCCTCAGCACTAGATGGGGGTGAGTGGTCAGCATCACGCCCCGGCCGCGCTTTACTCCCAGTACCCTTTGGATAGGAAGCTGGGTGGGCCCCAGAGCCAGTCTGGATGCAGAGGCTAGAGGAAAAATTCTCTGCCCTCATCAGGGATTGAACCCTGTGTCATCCAGTCTGTAGCCAGTCACTATACTGACTGAGCTACCGTGGCACAAAATAATAGAAGTGGAGAGCTTAAAGTGTTCTGGAAGCAAAATAGTGGCAAATGAAATTTTTACAGAAGAAATTGCAGAAACAGGGAAATTTTATCACCTGGTGAGAGGTGTACTCTCAAAATGGGAAATACCTGAGAAGGAGAAATAATCCATATTAATGTATGAACTAGAAAGTCAGCACATAATAGAGATGAGATTTTTGAGAAATATGGGAGGAGAAACCAAAGGACATGGTATAAGGAATAGGAACACTAGTGATAAATACCTTGGAAGGCAAACAAACAAGTAACAGGTATGAGATGGTGTCTTAATGAATGAAGACAGAATTCCATATAAGGCTTTGAATGTAAAAGTAGAAGGAAAGCACCCGAGAGGGAAACTGAGATCAAGATGGAAACAACAAGTTAAGAAAGATGTCACAGAGAAAAGGAAGGCTATGGGAATAAATTAAGGAGCAGGAGTTGTGGCAAGACACAGCTAGATGAAGAGACTGGTTGCCAGATGGGCTCAATCAATGTGAAAATGTCTTGAGAGGAAATAGAGAAACTTTAGTGTAGACTTGAATATCCAGTTTCATGTAGGTCTCATACATGAAAGAAGGAGGTAGATGGATAGACAGAAACACACTGCACCTTCCAGGAGTTCTTGTCTTCATTTTATGCATCTCATTCATTGATCACTGATAAGACTTTGATGTTCCATGACATTTGTTAGATGTTTAGTCGGCATGATGATGGCTGTATTCTTGGATGTTGCACCATGTAGTCTGGTAGATACTGACTGACATTTCAGAGGAGTAAACTGTCCCCATCATTAGTCATTAATTTATTGAGTTTACCTGGAAATGAATGACATCCTGTCTTTAAAATCATTGTTGGCTGTTTTGTAGGTTATGTAGTAAAACTACTTCAGGATGACACAAGGTGAGGGAATGATTTGGAAGCATTGCTTTAAAGAACATTCCCCCTGAAGGGTCTGAGGAAACCTAGAGAAAGCCTCAGAATTTATCTGTGCCTCATCCTTCCTGGACTTTAACCACGCATCTCCCAAATCAAGTTATATGTTACCATTAAAACCAGTCTAAAGTCATTGGACATATTTATCTTGGAAATGTTGCTTTTCTAATGAAAATTAATTGTGTGGTGTAGGCTGTGTGTATTATGTGCAATTTTTATCTGTTTCCAGAAAATGCGCTTATTCCAAAAGAATCTGGAGGACTTGTCCAGTCGTATATCAGCAGCCGATGCCATGAAAAACAGCTGGCAGACTCCAAATGACATGACTGAAGTGGGTGAAATGCTGGAACAACTACGGGTACAGTCTGATTCTTCATTTTTCCGACAATCAGATGTTGAGTGGTTAGCAAATCTGCTTTGTATTCAGTAGGTCTCAGGTTCAAGTATCAGCTCAGAGACTTACTATTATGGCTGAATTTTTGTTTTTTTCTGTTCCTCCAGGGAATTGCTGGCATTGTACCTTAAAGTATGTCTTGACTACTTCACCTCACTTTTCAATTTATCATTTACAAACATCTTACCCTTGACACTATGCATACAGTGCAGTTGGAAAATGTCCAAATACTTTTTTTTTCTCTTCCAACACTTAAAATATTACAGGATACACAGAAAATTGTACAAATAATTATTAGTTTGTTCACATTCTTAGACCTCAGCATTAAATAGAGGTGAATGTTAATTTTCAAATTGTGGCCTTCTTCATACGTAGGAACATTGTCCCCACTTACCCAATGGATGGGTCCCAGAACTGATGGGGAGAAAAATTATTACCGCCAGCTTTGTCAATAATCGAACCCTAATAATCAAAGTGTGCTTTTCTAAGTTATTCTTCTTAGTTGGTAACATGCGTGGTAGCAGTGTTGAAAATGTTGCTTTGTTTTAATTGTAGTGGTAGACAACTCATTGACCACAAAAAGTGAGGACCAAGACTTGTACATTTTCAAGAGTTAAATTAAATTTTGAACAAACTGCTGCTTCAGTAGCTTTAATGACTTCCCTCCTGTCAGGAGAATCACCGCACACTCAATTTTAAGTTCTGTTTTATTACCGGACTTTGAACAAATTTGTTTTGTAAAGTTTGCTGCTGTCCATATTATTCATTCTTCATCACATTCCAAATATATTCTTTGTAGCTTACTTTCTTAGGCCAGAATTTAAAGTAGGGAAAAAACTGAGGATTCATGAATAATAAATGTTCAATTTGATTATAAAGAACTGAGCAACTTTATTCTTTTGTATACTTGGTTCTTTCCCTCAGAAGGGAACTTTAGCTTGCATTAGAAAATTGAGTTGCTTCAGTTGTACAGGGTAATCAAAAAGTCACACAACCCATTTCTGAAGCATATCCTATTTGTCAAAAAATAAATTACATTTAAATCATAAATGGAAAAAAAAGTTATATTGTGTGTTGGAAGTGTCCACCACTTTCAGTGATGCATGCATTAACACTGAAGGCAGACAGGAATAGGAATGGTTGGTGTCCTGAATGCTTTTAGTGTCACAGGAATGGTTCACCTTACAAGATATTGTTGATTTGTTTGGTGCGGGAGAATTGGGAAATGTTTTCCTGAACTCGGTCTGGAAAGTTAATTGAGAACGAGATGCCAGGTAATGTTTGATAATGAACACGCGTTGCACTTGTGAAAAAGACATCCTTTCACAGTTGACGGAGAGGCATGAGCGCGTTACAGTGTGATGTGACTTGCGTAGTCACAGCAATGTTGCATGTTCATTAATCCAATGAAATTGTATTGAATTGCAACCATCAGTAAATATTTTAATATGGGTTATGCAACTTTTTTTATGATATAGCCATTGCATGTGGCACACATGGGGAGCTGACAAATGCATATTGTTTTGGTTGGAAGGCCTGAGGGGGTAAGACCATTGAGAAGTTCCAGTCATTGGTAGGAGAGTAATACTAAAATATAACTTATGGAAATAAAATGGAAGGATCTGGACTGGATTCATCTGGCTCAGGATAGGGACCATTGGCGGGTTCTTGTGAATGTAGTAATGAACCTCTGTGTTCCATAAAAGATGTGGAATTTATTGACTAGCTGTGCATGTCTGTCAGCTCCTGTAGAAGGACTCTTCTTCATGAAGTGATGAGAGATAATTACAAATAATGATCTTGACTTTTTACAGAAATTTGGTGAACGACTTGGGCCAATACAGAGAACAGTAGAGGATGTTAATGACCAAGCAGCTTTATTTACTTCCAACAACGTTTTAGTTTCACATATCAACCTGAACCGATTAGAGGATCTCAATACAAGGTACATTCAACCGTTCAATTGATTCAATTCTAAATGGTTTTGACGACGGTAGTTTACACTTAAAATTATTTGTTGTCAGGACTTTTTCCATCATTTGTTCTTTAAAATTCATAACATTTCGGAGGCTGGTTCTGCCTCCGTCCTCAGGTGAGAGGTACCTACTCTGTTGGGTCCCTTAGATAGGGCTAGTCTCTGTCACTGGACTAGTTGTTATCTTCTTATCCCAATCATCGTTTGGTCTTCTGATATAAAACCCACAATGTCTTTCAGTCTGACTTTGTATTTCCTAACCTCTGAAGAACTGCTTAAAAGGATGTCATTTCTGCTTATCTGTTTCTTGCTTTAGGTGGAAATTCCTTCAAATGGCTGTGGATGACCGCTATAAGCAGCTCAATAATTTTGGGAAGGAGGGATCCCCACCAAACCAGGGCTTCCTGTCAGCATCCGTTGAGCCTCCATGGGAACGAGCTATCACTGCAAACAAAGTGCCTTACTACATTAAGTATGTTGCTGAATTGCATTTGTAAGGTTACGTCCTGCTGTTTCTCTTAGTTTTCTGGATGTTTTGCTCTTAGTCAAAAGCAGTAAGTAGGTGTTCACTGAATGGTCTGTTAGATTTATAATAAATCACTATAAATACGGTTTAAACATACATGAAAATTAACAGCACTACTGATTAACTGTATTTTCAGATATAAAATGAATGTGTTCATGCTGCCTTCCGTAGAACTTGGTAAATGGTGTTGATATTTTCGCTTGGTATTGATTTAACAAATCCATCTTTTAGTGAGAATTCATCATATTTGGATATAAAGAATCAGAAGGTTACCTTTATTCATTTTCTTACATAAGAAATATATCATACTGAGGCTTCTCATTGTTTTCCTCATTCCCTCGAAGTAGATACCAGTATAATATGATACATAAGTTACGATCACTTGTTTACAGCAATTTTTTCTGAAGGGGGTGCCATTGCACAGCTTCTTCTCATCTGTCATCTTAATCTATAGAACTCACATTCAAGCCCCATATGTCATAATTTTTCTTGTACATTGGAATTGTGAGTTAATAAATCAGACGTTCTGTGTACAGTATCACTAAGTTAAACAATATGATTATACAGGGTATATTGTTGTTATTATCCATTAAATATCAACATAACACACTGTGGTGCTACACCACAGATTTACTTGTAAATTAGAGTGTGGTGATGTTAGGTTTTCTTGTTTATAAGCGTATTGTGAAATAAGCCAACGAGTAGGCATAGTCATGTTCCTAAATACCATACCATGAGGCATATGAAGGCATAGAAGGGGAGTTCAAGAGTTCTGGACAGAAACACCATAGAGCTGAGTGATCTGCTTCATTGTATAGCAGCCTTAAAGTTCTGGAGAAGATTCTGTGATACATATTTAATACTAGGCTGGATAGGGAGTAATTTTGGGTGTGAAGTCAGAGATAGTCACAGTTCTTCTGCCTGGAAATTAATCCTGGTCTTCCAGCTGAAAGTTACTGTTATGAACTATCACTGTTCATTATGGCTTATGTTAAGGCTTATTATGTTTAATCATAAAATCATTAAAATGTCAACCTGTACATGTTCTTCCTTCTAGTTTCATCATGAATACTTATTGATTGCTGATTAGCCCGTCGACGTGGTAGTTTAAATACCCGCATATACTGCTGTCGTGCTGTTCCTGCGGTAGTATTTTTTAAATGCCCGTTTAAATTTTGCTGTAAAATACTCTTTTTTTCATAACTTTTGAACTATATGAGATATAATTATGAATTTTTCACTGAAATCCTCTTAAAAGATGGTTTTATAATCTTACCTTATAAGATGAGATGTGTGAGCAGTGAAAGCAAGTCGATTAGAAGTTTAGTTTCAGAAAAAACCGGAGTGTACA